CTAACTGACAGACAACTAAAAAGCCCCCAGACAACAAGACATAAAGCTTTGAAGTCCAATCTACAAATTTAATAAGAACTAGTTAATGCAAAAATAAGATTTTACACCATTCAAGACTCCATTTTACACTAAATTCCATTCCAACCCTAAAGAAAGACATGGACAGGTTGGAATGACTACATATTTGAGACAAGGAATAAAAAGTCTGTGCTTTTAAAACCCTTATTTTACCTAACAGAAGAAACTGAGGGAAGCAACAGGACTAAGGAGAAGTCCCAAGCATCACTCTGCTGAATGGCAAATATGCCACAAGTCAACTACAAACACAAAAAAAACCGTTTTAAAACAGGTTTTTAAATTCCTCTGCAATTTGTTGTTGTGTTAAACAACTTCTCTAATTTGCCGCAATCTTCTGCTTAAAGTCAAAAGAGGATGTGTTGTAACTCATTACTTTCCAGGAAAACAGCTTTAAAACATTTCAAAACAAGCCTTGGACTAGGCAGAAATAGATCAGACTTGAAAAAATTTGTATCGCTATCAAGTTTCCCTTCAGATGACACAGCTTATCTATTATTCTTCCTTATCTTCTCAAAACTAAGACAATTTTTGCTAGCCAGCAGCAGTCAATAGGCTGTGCTGGCACTCTTCAATTCAACATGAGCCAGTGAAAGTGGCATCACACCATGATAAAATATCTTCAGTTATAAGACAGAATTTTGCAGTCAAATTTTTATTCTGCTTTCAAGCAAAATGATTGACATTCCTGTCTGTAAGGATTCAATGTGCCACATCACTTGGAGAGCCACACGTTCTCCTGATGTTCAGCCCAAGTTAAAGAAACTTAATCAGAAACCCTTTGTTGCAAGGCTGTCCTGCTCCCTGAAGTAACTGGGAGCTCTCTTTGGACATACACAAATCAGGGAATCCTCTGTGTGGTTCAGAGTAGGCATGGCAGGCCACACACACGTCGAGGTGATGAGAGAATCCTCCTCTGGCACTTCAGCTACTCACTCAGTTCCAGATGCATCCACCAACTTTTCCCAAGGATGGCCTGAAATATGCAAGTTTCAAACTGTCTCAAGGACACACTTTTGCGTTTGGTTTTTATAAGCTACATAAATCTTCCCCATTTCAGAAGATTTAAGAAATAGATTATGAAGTGTTCAGTTAGTGAAACTTATTATTAGAGGTTTCCATTCATGTGAAGAAAGAAGAAAACAACCTAATTCCTTTTGAGATCTGTGAAAAGACAGATCATGACTGACACATTACCTGCGCTACAGACTTGACAGAAATCAAGTAAGTGCCTCAGTTTTCTAAGATGTACTTCAGCAACTCTATTTACTGCAGTTCATTCATACTTGAAACTGACTGCAGGACAATCAGTCCTGGTGAGTTTCTAACTGACCTTAAGTCCTTGGCCTTCTCAAGTCATTCAGAACTACACTTGAATTGTACACACCACATAAGCTGTACACATCATTGCTTATGGCATCCAACAGTAGCTTTTACATTATTTTATGTATATACACTCATATTTCTCATAGAAAATGTAACAGCTGATAGTTTAGCAAAATTACTTTAAGCATTTACTGCATCTTGTTCTAAGGCAGCCAAGAAAACAGGTCTTAGATTCTCCTGCCATCTCATGTTGTAATCAAATCCAGATTAAGCTAATAACATCACATAAGCAGGTGCACTCAAGACTAACAGAGTTAAGTCACTAGAATTAAGTCATTCACAGTACTCAACTTACCAACAGCCCCCTCAGACATTTCTGAAGCTAAAGAAACACCATGAAGATACTATGTTGAAAACAGGAGTCAAAAGTAGATAGAAATGAAGAAAGTAGAAGTAAGTAAAACATCCAATTAATCAAATTCAATATGACATTGAGTTTTGTGATTTAAAAGAAACTGAGCAGTCAAATTTTCTTGACTCTTTGCTTCAATACGGAAAAATTGTAGTAAATACATCAAAGAGCTATAAGAGAAATGATAAAGCCACCTAAGTATGAAAAACCCTTCAAAGCATAATCTGACAAAGCATAGTAGAAATAAAATCCACCCAGATAAATGGAAGCCCTCACTACATGCACCATTTACTACTACTTTACTTTCCAGAAAACTGTTGCATAAACTTCTTTGATCCTCTAGATGATTATTTACTCAGTGGAATAAAATAAAAACATTAAATATAAATAGGATTTTTTTCACTTGCTGTCAAGCAGAGTTACAAATAAAACCTGTTCTTAAAGAAAATCTCAATGTAACAGAGGACAGGCAAATAAAAACATGGAGGTAGTTTTTAGTGGTTTCAAATAGAGCTACAGTGGCCCCACAACAACCAACAAACTGAATTTCCAGGAGGTACCAGCAAAACACTATGTTCTAAAATATTTAATTTACAATTGCAAAAAAAAATATTTACACTAGGAAATTGCCACCCAAAATAATATTCACTATGTAGCAAAACCAAGAGAACTTCTTATGCAAACAATTAACAAATGAGTCAAATTGTCATTTTGAATAAGTAAATAAGTTAATATTAGTTAATCCTTAAGCACATGCTTATCCTTTGAAACACAAGTAGTCCCACTGAATTAATAACTGGTCACATGCATCTTCAGCATCACCTTGAAGCAATAGCTATAGCACCCATGTGTGCAGCTGAGTAACACTGTAATCCATTCTACTGCAAAACTTCTTGGCCACTTAGCAGTTTTACAAGTTGAGGACAGAATTTTTATTTGTAGACTGTGTGAGTAAAAAATCTCCCTTTCTCCTGACCAGAGATTATTTGGCACATGAACAGCAATATCTCATTCTCATACTCCAGGGAGTTTTAACCTGCCTCTAGCTAAAAGCTATACAATCTTTAGATTGCAGCAGAGTGTAAAAATCACTCTAATTAAATCAAGTAAGAACTGGTTGGACTAGTGTTACTGATCCCCCAAATAATTAAAATCAGTTAAGAAAAGTCAGAGGTTGGTACTTAGCTATACCTAAACTTGTGCTATTTTTTTAAGTAAGTTTTGCAATTCAACAACTATGAAAAAGCAAATTTAAAGTAAGCTACAAGGGGAACCTGGACTGATCTGAGTATAAACTACCACATAATACAGTTTCAGGTAGTTTTTGTTTTTTTTTTTTTTTTTTTTTAATGTATATAAAATTTCTCCTGGCTTTGCAGTTGTTCTAAGACATAGTGAGTATATCTTAGAGCATGCCAAATTTCATTGCAAACCAGTTGAAGCCTGACCTAAGGCAGCTGCATTTCTGATATATGTGAACAGAATCTAGTTTGCACTGTCACATATACTTACACCTATTTGCACCAGTTTTGCTTCCATACTGTATGATGTAGCTTTTACACTGTTGTGCTCCCACTGTTGCACCCTGGAGGCCTTTCAGGGCCCAGCTGCATTATCCCGGAATCCTGGAACAAACCTTTTAGAGGAGACTGACAGCATAGCAGGTTTCTTTCCAGTCCTGACAAAGTTAAAGCAAAGCAATGACAATACTCTGTGTGTTGATAAGCTCCATATGCACACCATGCAAATTTAAGAGAAGGCAGCATAACAGTATCAGTATATAATTGCCAAGCCCATTTTATCACAAACTGATGCCCTAGAGCCTCTAAACACCAGGTAGGATAGGAAGGGGTAGAAAGTGAGTGATTTCTCACACAGAGCAGATAATTTCCTGTACTGTGCACAAAGTCTGATTGGTTTCCTGTCAGAATAGCCCAGTCTCTAAGTCTTTTGATCACTTTCCTCTGGCCCTTCACAGTTGCTCTGATTAGAGATTGATCCCCATGCTGCTCTTTGATCAGCAGCTCCGGCAGCCTGCAGGTGCCATATATCATCACATTAACAGGCCACAGCAGCATTAATCTCCCCCTTCTAAATTTGTTAGTGCACTGCATATTCTACCCACTCAAAGAACACTCGCAGAGGTCTCTAAAACTTTGCTTTCTATTAGAACTTTTATCTGGGGTGTCCCAAGTTCAAAGTTAAGAGAATTGAATTAGCCTCGAATCTGTGTTTCTGCTTTATTTCATTACAGTTCAGAGAGTTTTGAGAGCTCCCAGCTTGGCCTTTTGTGTTGGTTTGTGCCCAGGGAGAAAGCTTGTTCTAGCTGACATGCTAAGTACTAAATTTTTCAAACACGCCCCCCCCGCCCCCCACCCCGTACTTTAAACACCAGGGTTTCCACGAATGTGTGCAAACAGCCTTAATTTTAGATGTTCTACAGTAAGCATGGTTTCATGCAGTATATAACGTTACAGTTTGTAAAGTATTCTTTAAAATGACTTCATAATAGCAGATCAAGAGGAAAGGCGCTTAAAAATCTGAATAATGTAAATCATATGGAGTTCAGAGGCTAAGCAAATTACACACCCCGAAGCTGCCCTTGCTGTATGAAAGGAGTCTTTCTCCAGCTCTGCGCAGCCCCAGCCCAGGGGAACTTGCATTTGAGAGTTTTCTAAACATTTCAGGTACACTTGAAAGTTGAAAGTAATTCTCATTTCCTATGCAGGATTAGCTCGTTTCCAGCCCGTACAAAACACCACTCATTCACGCACAGACACAAAAATCCACCCCCCGAGAGCGAAGCATTTAGGGTACAAAGGTGCGCGGGTTGTTGTTGGGTTTAGGTTGCTGTTTTTCAGTTTGTTTGGATTTGTAGCAGGGCGAGGCGGCGGACGGGAGGGGGGCACATTTTGCACCTCAAGTACCGCAGAAGAGCGAGCCGCCGCGCTCCCCCCGCGTCCGCCGAACCTTTTAGCGCTGCCCTTTTACCCGGAGCCGGCGGGCAGAGCCGCGCTGCCCCCGCGCCCACCGCCCCGGGGCCGCGCTCCCGCCCCGCGGCGGGAGGAGAGGAGCCGGGAGGAGAGGAGCCGGGAGGAGAGCTCCGCTCCGCTCCGTTCCGCGCCGGCCGGGCGCACGCCCCCGCCCTGCCCCGAGCTGCGCAGCGGCGGGCGCTGCGGCTCCTTACCGTTCTGCTCCTTGGCGCCGGAGAAGGCGAACTTGCTGCTGAGATCCGACTCGGCGACGGCCCCCTGCCTCCGGCCGGCCAGGGCAGATGTCAGCAGGAGCAGCCCGAGGAGGAGCATTGGGCCGGCAGGGCGAGGGGCTCCGGCACAGCAGGCACTGGCGGCGCGGCACCGAGGCCCGGGCGTCTCTCAGCAGCGCCCGGCGCGGGCTGCGCCGCTGGGGAGAAGGCAGCACTGAGCCTGCTCTGGCAGCGGAGAATTGCAGGGTAGTTTCCACATAATCCCATCCAAAACTTTTTCCTAGAGCCCTTTTCTGTGTCTCCAGGTTTTGTTTTCCTTTGGCTTTTTTTCCCCCCTCTCTTAAAAAGAAAAAAAAAAAAAAAGGATCAAAGGAAAATCTGGACCCAGACCAGCTTCCCAAGGACTAAACAATCCGTGGCCGTGGCGGGCGGGGGTCGGAGGAGCCGGGGCTGGTGCGGGGCCGCCGCGGAGGAGCGCGCACCTGTCAGGCGGGGGCGGGCAGCCCGCGCTCACACAGCAGCGCTCCCCTCGCCCGCAGCTCGGCGGCCGCGCTGCCAGCCCGGGCCGTGCCTGCCGGCTCCCCCCTCCCTCCCACGCCCGCCGTCCCATCACGGCGAGGGCGGCACCTGGCGCGGCCGTTTACGCCCCGGGAAGTTGTCGGTGGGAAGAAGGAGGCTGGCGGGCGGCCCCCGCTGCTGCCCCCTCTGCAGCGGCCAAGTGGCGGCGCAACAGGTGCTGGGAAGGGAACCGGGGGGGCTCCCCAGCCCCGTGTGCCCCACGAAGGGGGCTCCCTCCGCCGTCCCCCGAGGAGGACCCGAGGTCACGGCGGTCCGGAGTCAGTTTTGTGTGTTTGGCAATTAGGGCGAGATGCTGGCTTACCAGTATTTGTTTACTGGGTTGTTATTATGGTAATTGGGTTTGTGCTTGAAAACTTGGTGCTTGGTTAAACATTTCGTCTGAAGGATGCCCTTGGTAGTGGGAACTAAAACATTGAGAGGAGGTTTTAAAAAGTCTCTGAATACTTTTTTTTTCTTTTTTTCTTTGCTTGTTTGGGTTTGTTTGTTTTGCGTTTTTTTTTGTACTAGAAGTTGTTTTGGTTACCCTGAACTGGGACATCTAACAGTTACATAAGCAGATGGAAACATAGGTTCAAGTCTTTGTAACTGTCCCTGGCTTGTTGCGATGCCTTGTGGTACTTGGTGAAGTAAAGCAGATAGGATTGGGTTCCTTTTTGCTGTTTCACCAGAAACCAGAACTGAGATTATGTCAGGGAGTATTCCCCTATTAATGCTGGTGAGGACTAAAAGGACTGATGATGTTCAGCACCCATATGGATCTTTGCTAGAGATGGCATTTCTAGTTTGCTCCAGGACTGGAACTGTGGCTATGTGGCAGGTCTGGGTAACAACACCAAATGCTAACTGGATACCAGAAGGGCAAAAGAAGCAATTAAGACAAACCTCTTTATCTTGATTGAGAAGTTTTGGGAGGGTTTCTTAAAATTTTTACTTCAGCCCCCATAGTTCTAAGGTTGTTTTGGGGATGGATGGGGGACCTATACAGCCAGATATTTTGGGGGGGGGGGCTATATAACCCTGATATGTGCAAGACATACAAGAGAGAAACTGAGTCTGCACTGCCAGAATCTCGAGCACACACTACATAAATTTCTTATCCTTTGACCCAGCTCTTTCCATTATATAACTGAGCTGATTCTTCGCCTCAGCCAAAGTAACCCTTGAGACAGTGATAAACAACCCCTCTGTTCCTAATAAGTGACATATTTCCAGTAGCAACTGAAAGCTGTCCAGCCAAGCTGGGCTGTCTTCTGAAAAGCAGACTTGGAGCATACCATAAATAGCAACCCTTCACTTACAGAGCGTGAAGAAAGAAATGTACTGCACAAAGCAGACTATGTAGTTACTTTTATTATTGTTATCCTTGTATTTTTTTTTTTTTTTTTGCTTCACTGTTGTTATTTTTAAATGGAAATAAAAATAACATGTGCAATTTTCTAGGTCTTCTACCCTGATGATTACAAGCAGTGTTTTGGGGTTTTTTAAATCAAATTAAGCATTACACTGTAGCTTAACCTTCATTGCCTGAGGATTTTGTGAGATTCTTTGTATTTTGGAGTACTGGTGGCAAGTTCACTCTGAAAAACATGGACCTAATGTCTTATGTTGTGTACATGAAAAATAAACTATCCATTGAAAAATCTAGGCTTCATCAGACCAGGGTTTCATCTGGAGGTGCTGGAGCATGCCCAGAGAAGGGCAGTGGAACTGGTGAAGGATCTGGCACACAACTCTTATGAGGAGTGGCTGAGAGATGTAGGGTTGTTTAGCCTGGAGAAAAGGAGGCTCAGGGGAAAGACTCTATTGCTCTCTTCAGCTGCCTGAAAAGGAGGCAGTAACAAGGTAGGGATTGTTCTCTTCTCCCAAGTAATAAGAAACAGGACAAGGTGAAACAGAAGTTAGGTTAGGGAGGTTTAGCTTGAATATTAGGGAAAACCTCTTCACAGAAAGGGTTGTGAAGCATTGCCACAAGCTGCCTGGGGAAGGGGTGATCATGATTCCTGAGGTGTTTAAAAGATATGTAGATATGTCACATAGGAACATGGTTTAGTGGTGGACTTGGCAGTGCTGGATTTGTAGTTGTACTTGGTCATTTTGGTCTTTTCCAACCTAAATGATTCCACAATTCTGTGGTCCTGGCTTAGACTTTTCAAAGGAAAATGCAAGAACCCACATAGTGGATGAATATGGAATAACACTGCCTAGGGTGGAAGCTTCCCTTCTAAACCTCCTGTAATTAGAGGTCAGGGTATAATTTTGATCATTGAAGCTTTACTTCTCTAAAAAACGCTTTTGTTGCAAATTCCACCCAAAATATCAGGTGAGATAATCTCTATCCTTAAATGTGTCCAGTCTTCTCTGAAATTCATGCTAAGCATTTATCACCAGCTATGTTTATTTTTGATATTATTGCTCTCCAGTTTCATCAGGTATATCTATGTGCTTGGGTTATGAAAATAAATAATTTATGTTTGCCTCCTTTAACCTCTTCATCTTCCATGTAACATCTGTATCATGTCCTTTCCCAGATTGGCATTTTTACTATGGTTTTCACATGAACACCTTAGGCTTCCTAAGTGCCATCTGTTTTTGTTGTGTTTTATTTGGGGTGGGACAAACAGAACAGAACATTCCAAGTGAAGGCCTAATCTAACATTACATAGTGAATGAAAATAGAATGTTTCATTGTATATAGTATCTGTTGTTCATATCTTTAACTTTTTATATGATCTACTCATGTAATAACATATGGAAGTACTGGCATTAAAAAAGTAAATGTCTAGGTAATTATGACAAACTAATGTAAATGTAGTTCAGATAATTCAGATATTGCATTGCCCATACTGAATTTCACTGCAGATCACAATGCCAATGCAGCTAAGAGTTCTGGTGACTCAATGCCCAGTAAAAATTTCTCTGGATATCATTTTTTCTACATACATTATAAATATTTTTAATTACATAGAGCTTTATGTTCCTAAATTTTCTCCATTATTAGAATTGTACTTCAGTTTTTGTCTTTTTTATCAGTCACCTCACCATAACTCATCTCACAATTATTTAGTTGACACTGTAGTCTTTCAAAAACTTTTTTTCCTAATGTTTTGTAATGTAGTCTATAAAGTGCGCCTCAAGTATTTTTCAACTTAAATATTACAACAGGTGTTTCTCTGTAAATTGTGATATTCAAATTGTCTGAGATGCCAACTTTGCCCTGTAGAATAGCCTCACTGATTTTACATATTTTCAGATTGTTTTATGACTCTGTTTTTTATGATCCTCATTGAGAACTGACTTTGAAGGAGTATTTCTTTTACTTGAATAAAATTTGAACTATCTGGATTATCCCACAGGAATGTATTGTGTTGAGACTTAGCCACCATAGAAGGCAACAGAAATTTGGCCTGTTAGGATATCAGAGACTTACTGTGATGCTGTATAGCCTTCTTGAACTATAAATATCCTTGATATGAAAAGGCATTCTCTGTGATTATTATTAACTGAAAGGATTACCATTAAAACATACATTCATCACACAATCTTCAAAACCTTCACTTACCTCAGCAAATAGAATTCCCCACACCAAAGTCAAAATAATATGGTCACAATGCCAACAGATGTGGACAGTCACAGACACGTGCTCCTCACCTTGTCCCTTCACCGCTTTGCAACAAGAAAGGTTCCCCATTATTTTGGAAGTGGGCTGGAACTGGCAAGGTGCATAGATGTTCACTGACTGCCATTTATGGTTTGGGCTGATGCCAAGAGATATAGACTGATTTCAGGGAGCTCTAAATATCCCAAGTAAGTTCTGTAAGGAATTGTACTATTTCCTTCTCCTCATGTGCTGTTTCAGACTTTTTTCCCCTCCAAAAGCTTTGCAATGACATAAGCATTTCTCTCATGAGAAGGAATAGGATGAGAGATACAATGTTTGGGGGAAAATAGCAAAAGGCTGAGAGACAAACCCATTTTTAGGCACGATGAACCAAAGGAAAGTGCTTCTGGTGATGTATAACTCCAGAAATGCAGTAACTTCTATCAAATTCATGTCTCACAAGAGTCAGGACTAGACATTTACATACCTTTGCAAGACTACAAAAAAAACCACTGTTGGGAAAAGAAGATTGATTGATTCTCTTTTCTCTCCAAAGCTTGTTTCACTTCTTAAAAAAAATAAGGGAAAAAATTAATTAATAAATATGCACTTTTATATTCCCATATATTCTAAATGAACCTGTATAATCCTTGGAAGTTCATACTAAAGACAAAACAGTATTTTGCAAAGCTTAGAATATCATTAGAACTAATAAATATCTGCTCATCCAGACACACAGGCAAGTGTCCATTTTTGTGCAAAGTGCTCCTGATTTCAGTGTAGTTACACATGAATTACTTACTGGTGTAAAAGGGCTGAGCTTTAAATGCTCATACTATAGAATTATTTTTAATTATTAAATTAGTTATTAATATGTTTTGTTAAAATCTTTTTATGGATGAGTGATAAATATGAAAACAGAAATTGCGTTACAAACATTGATTGTCTTTTAGAAAAGCAATAATAAAATGTCTTACTCTCATGATCACTGAGCAATTGGAAAAGGCATTTGTACAAATTAACATGACTCTTCTAAACATACTCATGTGAGGTGCAAAGGCTGTGTGTGGAATTGAATAGAATGTCATTCCTATGTTAGTACTCCTGTAAAAAAGGTAAGGATAAATTTTAGTGTTTTAGTCTTATTGTCTGTTCCTACTGAATTTGTAAGTGAGCTAAAGATTTATTTTCCCATTTCCATGCTGCATTTGAAAATATAATAAAGAAAAATGTGAAGTCCAAAGAGACTTCAATTCTGTTGATGCTTGTGTGGTGTGGACTACTCAGACATGAACAGAGGAGGAGGAACTCCAAACACAGTTGGGTCACTTGAATCACACCCCTAAATAAAAGGTGCCATTTCTATTTTGCAAATCCTAAAATGAGACTTGGGTCTTAAAA